CCACCACAATCCCCCTGTAGCTACAGTCACTCGAGACACCCAGCTGGCCAGTGCCCCTCTTAGACTATCCAAATCCCTTTCCTCCACTTCGTCAAAGCTGTCTCCCTTACTTTTCAGCCATGTGTTGCCCGCAGGATACGGATGATGTCACACACCATGATTCAGGTTGTGACCCTGTCTAGCATCTCACATGACACATGTCCCAGTCCCGACTGAAAGCTCGATACCCTGTATGTATGCCTGACATACAGGGTAAAGGGTAAAGGGTAAAGGGTAAGGGCAAGCATGAGACAGACAGAAAGAAGACCATCTTATTAGAATTTCCTGGATGAGAAAATACCTTAACAGGGAAAAATGGTAAAATAGTACACACTGAAGAACGGAAACAATGAAATTGAATGAATGTAAGTGGCGGCATCAGCAGCACATACCCGATAGGGCCTCTTTTGGACGATTCAGAGTTCTGCGTGCAATTGCCCGGCGGAATAATGCTTTTACACAGCATTTATCCAGCATCAAAGCCTTGTTGCAATCTTCTTCAGCTTCCCCATACCTGACACATGCAGAAGTCAACAGTGGATGCACAAAGAGAATGTCATGCTCCTCTCGTCCTTTTTGTTGGCCTGCTCTTGACTGATGTCCCCCCCCCCTTCCTCCCACCCCCCCCTCCTAAATGTGGCCCGATGGACCACGGATCAGATACTAAACTGATGATTAGAACATATACTACAATAGGAGCGGGGGGAAAAAAAATAAAACAAGAAGAAAAGATGATGAACTTATGAAGGCACGACAATAGTGGGTAAGATCAGAACCGAGAAGGCAAAGGCCAGGGAAGGTAAAGGACAACACAGTCACAACAGTCACACCAGACTTGTCATGGATGTTATCTATGCTTCAGCTTGTTCCAAGACCGCACCAAACATGAGACACGGACCTCTTTCAGCTCCAATAGGAAGCGCCGTTCAAACCACCACAGTAGCACATCAGCAAGGTGCGCCGGTTAACACGCCGGCCTCTCGTGGACCCCACTTGGACCCTCATTCCCACCTCAGTCTCTCCCAAACCAACCCATTCCACCACGGTAGTGTCTGGGAAGTTTGTCATGAGCCTGAGGGGATCCAGGTCTTCCTGCCTGGTCAGTGATATAAGATGATACAAGGTTATTGGTTTTCCATTGTTTCCACCCTCCCCAGCAATCCTCCCTGGGAGTCCCCTAGCCTGGCGAGCCATTCTGGTGAAACGATCGTCAGCAGTTGCGCCGTCCTTAGCCCGTCATTATCTGGGTCCAGGCCATCCAATCCGGATTTCTTAATTGCACTAGCTCTTTACTTCTTTTATTGCGGATTCGGGGTCCTCTAGGGTAGCGCAGCAAAACCCCACCTTCGGAAAGAAAAGAAAAAAAATTCCCTGCTGGGCGGGGTGGCACCACGTACGTGTATGCGGTGTGTACGCATACGTATGTGCGCATACGCGTACGTATATATATATAGCCTCCTGATGAGTCGGTGAAACTCCGACGAAACAGTTTGTCACAGCCCCTCGTTTGTTGTACTCTTCTCTCTCTCTGCCTACGGTTTACCGGG